TTTTCTTCAAAGGGCATATCACAATGATCTGTAAATACATCTTTTCCCATTGTGTGCAACTACAAAACGTTTTTCCTCTTTTACAGCTCCCAAGCCCAAACCACCACCTCACCGTTTTCTCGTGGATCAGCCAGATCGACTACACCCCATTCAGCTGTGAGTAAATGGAAATACCATCTCCAAGCGAACCATACCTCCGCAGTCTAAAGCATAATTTTTCAGGCCTGAAAGTGTAGTTACCGCTCGACCACTGATTGTTCGGGACGAAATCACTATGGATGGTAGGGTCATCGTGACTGTTCTTTTTAGCTTCTCCGATTTTTGAATCTGGAACTTTTCAGCTCTTCGCAAAGGGAGACTATTCGGAGCGAGCAAGTCCCCTGCACCTGGTGAGATATTCGTTCAGAGACACAAACCGCGATTGAAAATTGTAGGTAGTGGGCTCCAGAATCAAGTAGATATCTGATGACCAAGAAGGAAAAGGCTAGGCTCACCGTTGCCTTAATAACTCTCCCCCCCCTCTCCTGTTCTGCGGAAGCATATGGCAAAATGACACTATGTGCAAAAGACGATTAGACCAAGAAATAGCGACAGTATGCATACTAGAAAGACCACACCGCAACACAACTGCTGAGGTCAGCAAGGAGGAGCCCGACCTTTTGGGCGGAGTCCGACCATCGCGAAAGGCCTTCGACATCTTTATTGTGCCACCCCGCACAAAGAAGTGATCCCATCAGACATTCGAGGACTGCGTCGCTGAATATCACGGAAGAAACAATATATGAATGACTCCCTCATCGTTAAAACTTTTCAGTGCCTTCCACCACGACAGGAGTGAGAGCTCCTAGCACAGCCAGATCACAACCTCCGAGCACAGCTAGATCGCAAAGTCAAGAAGCAAGAACAGCTGCTGCTATAGGAACTCCTTGTGGGAGAACAACGGGTAAGAAAGCTCTGAATAAGACGCTGACGCTAGCATGCTGTGGCCACCCGTTAGCTCTCTTCTATCACATAAATTGGTGAAGTTAGACAATCTAGACTAGGAGGTGGGTGAATGGAGACAGAGAGAAAGAGAAGCACATCCTTGTATCCTCACGTCAACAGCAAACAGTCCTGTACTACAGCTGATCATGGGTAATACGCAGCACGCAGAGAGAGGTTGCTGACAAAGGGCTACTACAAGGGGTAACGGCTACCGTGAAGGCAAGCCCACAAAGACGTGAACACTCACTGCTAAGATGTTCCTTTCAGCAGCGCTCGCACCGATACCAGAGTCCCGCGAGCAACACGCGAGTCCCAGTGGAACAACCAGACATGGACAGGGACACCCTCAATATACGCAGCGTTAGCGACATAACGTTATCCTAGCGCGGGGTGGGCTTGGCATTCGAACATGGCACAAAATGGGTTACTCGTGGGATATTCACTTATTGTCCGATGTTAGACAGAGACAAGATTACAACAGTCCCAAAATGAAAATATCCCTCCAATAGGGCCGCAACTGACACGTTTAGCCGAAGAACGGCAGCCCACTTACCGCATCTCAGGATTTGGCAGTTATATGGTCAAGGCCTGTGTCTGCCCACGGAAGTATGGAGAGACGCGCACCCGATTCGATACTCTCTACTTCCTTTGCCTTTCCCTGATTGGAGAAGGTGATTACGTTATGCCTGCAACTAGTAGGCGCCCCACACATGGCCAGGAGCAGAATTAACAGAGCTGATGGCAAATTGAAAGGCGCAGTGCCACGAGTACCGGGCTTGAACTTATTCTTCGCATGGAGCGCGACGCCTTCACAGTCGACCTGAAGCATGATACCTACGGATTCTCGCAAAGCTCCAGGCTCTCCCCGTCCCCCTTTCCAGCTGCTGAGTTTCGGTGGCGTCGGGTAAAATTTTGCGTCTTTTCTAATAACCGCAGCCAACTGGCGCAGAAGAGAACTGGGGGACGACAGTATTACTATACTAAGGTCGCTTGTCTGTCACCTGGCTGCTTGGGCCACTGGGAAGAGCAAAATCCACCAGACAGAAACAAAAAAGGCGAAGGAACTATTCCATAAAGAACATGCCAGTGTATTCACTGGGGCTTTTTGGAGGGGTGGCGGCGGGCGCTCATGACTGTTTTTTCTGCTGCTCTCTTCCACTTTGCTCATTGTTTTTCATAACGAGCCTGGCACTATCATATAACCATTCACCATCAATCACCGCTACCGTAACGTACAGCCAGTACTACGACAGTGAAAGTTCGGAGAAAGGACATGAGGGAGGGGGGCGGTAGAGAAGGGATCTAAATAGGCAATCCTACACGTTATGAAAAGCCGTGACTATGACGTTTTCACTTCTTTTCAATTATATGATTTTGATGAGAAAAGTACAGGGAAAACGACCTTGTCTAATATGGCGCGATCGGTCCCAAGGTTGGTAAGGTTCACGAACCATGTCAGCAATGCTTACTGACGGGAATCCGATTCTCTTTGCATCCGTTCCTATCAGGGCACATCGTTGTTGGGGAATCCCAACAGGGAAGCTCATTTGGTCGCCGAGGGGGGTCGTATTTGGGCTGAACTTCATTTGATAGCTTTGATTTTTCTCGCTAAAGCGTGGTGGTAAGGGGCGGGAGCGGGTCGGTATTCCGTTTTCGCCTTCTGGTAGAGGTGGTTGACTTCTCATGATTTTCCTGTTCCATGTGTACGATACCCTCCAACGACACAACAGCGACAAGGTAGCGGTTAGCGGGCACCGTTCATCACGCACCGGTATTCCTAACGAAGTGGTCGTATTTGGCTGCTCCTGAGTGAAATCGTAATTGCCTTTGAGAAAACGGTTGAACTTTTCTAGCAATTCCCATTTCTGTAAGCTATATATCCCCTCCCGCGCCCTACTCGACGACAGTTCTTTCCGGAGAAAAACTAGAGAATATTTCCAATTCCAAGAAAGACCGCCTATGGAGAGATTTGTTGCCCAAGGTGCGGATACTCGAGGTGGTGATTTTAGAGCGAATTTTTTCCCCAACAGCAAGACGTGCCCTGCCGGGTAGCCACAGTTTTACTCCATGAATCCGAGCGGTTGCAGAAACATTTCATATTAGAACCATCAAAGTGCATTTTTAGGAGCTCCCGCACAACCAGAAGTCGCTACGACGGCTGCACGAACTTCATCAGCAGAACGACCAGCAGATAATACAGCTATACTTCATGGACCGTCTGGTTTGGCAATCATCGCTATTCCCGATACCGCGGTACAACACCAACGGTCGAGAAGATCTACCATTTCGAGGGAGGAATTCAAGTACACCTTTGTGACTCGACAAGTGGAATATACAAAGACTTCTTCGGAACAGGCGGAACAGCAAACGACGATGCGATTGGCTAACACTGACGTGCTCTTATGGACCATCCGGCCCTACAATCATGGTGACACCCGACACGGCTGTACTACACGGACCATCTGGGACAGAAATTATCTCGACGAGTGCGACCTCAACGCATGAAGCCGAGACGAAAGTTGCGGCAAGGCAAGCCCCAGAAACACAGGAAGCGGCTGCTGTGCAACAAGAAACATCTGTAACAGCAGCCAAAGCAACGGAAGCAGCGGCTTCCAGAAGTGAACGTCTTGTCACAGCAGCTGCAATCGGATCGCCATGTGGACGAGTTACACGGAACATCCCGCAAGGTCCCTCCGCAATTCCAACTGATCAGCTCATGCTCTACAAGATACAAAGTAAAGCTGAGTACAGTGCACGCAGACGTAGTGCCTCTAGAGCCAGACGTGTATCAGCTGTTCAGTCGGAGTCTCAAAGCAAAGCACCAGTTGATGCAACACCTGCAAGAAGTACTAGTGGAGGAGAAGTATCCACCTCACGACGAAGGAGCAAGAGCATACCTAGAGTGTGGACCGCTAGGAGCGCACCTAAATCGCAGTCATCAAGTGCTGCAACTCCGCCTCCTGACCACTCTACCCGAACTGGTATCCAAGCACCAACCGATGTCAAAACTGCAAGAAGTACCAGTAGAGGCGACTTACAACTCCAACTGGACGTCGTAGGAGAAAGAGCATACCAAGAGTGTGGACCGCTAGGAGCGCACCTAAATCGCAGTCATCAAGTGCTGCAACTCCGCCTCCTGACCACTCTACCCGAACTGGTATCCAAGCACCAACCGATGTCAAAACTGCAAGAAGTACCAGTAGAGGCGACTTAACAACTCCAACTGGACGTAGGAGAAAGTCCATACCAAGAGTATGGACTGCGAGAAGTGCACCCAAATCGCAGTCATCAAGTGCTGCAACTCCACCTCCCGACCGCTCAAGTCAATCTGGAGCACTAGCAGATGTCAATACTGCAAGAAGTGCAAGTGGAGGCAGTTTATCAGCTTCAACTAGACGACGCAGGAGAATGAACATACCAAGAGTATGGAAAGCGAAAGGCGCACCCGAAACACAGCCATCAGCTGTTACAGCTCCACCTTCTGCACAAACAGAAGTGAATACTGCGAGAAGTACTAGTAGACGCGATAAGTCGACATCAGCTGCGCGACGTAAAAGCAGGAGCATATCAGAAGTGCGGACCGCGAGGAGTGCACCTAGAAAGCAGCCATCAAAAGCTACTACTCCACCTCCTGCTCCGTCACAAAAATCGGAATTGAAACCCGCATCGCACAAAACTCCTGACCGCTCAAGGCACTCCAGGAGCAGGACGCCAGCCGATAGAAGGACCGCACGAAGCACGACTGTGGGTGACATATCGACTTCTGCAGCGCAGTCCAAGCGCAAAGACCAAGCTTCAAGCACCTAAATGGACTGCAAGAAGTACGTCTAAATCACGCGCGTGGAAAAGTAGGCGAGACACGTCAACTGCGACCGCAAAAGAGCTTCAGAGCAGACGATCGACAGAGGAACAGAGCGCGCGAAGCCGAAGCACATCTTGGCCACCAACATGGAGTGCAACCACTCCACCTACGGCTACTTCAATGAAGTCTCTTGATCGCTCGCGACATCCGAGCACAGGAGAACCAGCACATGATGTTAAGACCGCAAGAAGTTCTGTGGTACGGGAAGAGACAAAATCAGGTGATGTTAGGACTGCAAGACGTCCTGATGTACGGGATGAGACACAATCAGGCGATCTGAGAACAGCTCAGAGCCCCATGGTACACAAAAAAACTGTTATCACACGCATTACCGATTTTAAGAGTATAACAACTAGGACGAGAACGTGGAATGAACCCATAGAGCAACCACAGCAGGGAGTTAGAGCGACAACAGCGACCAAAGCCGAACAAATGAACACAGCGGTCAAAGCGGAACAAAGTGAACTGAAAACAGCTCGTTTACCCGCCTCACCAGGACAGCCAGGACGCTCGGCAAAGACACTCACTCACACTGACTTCTTCTCACCGACATCCGCTTCCGGAAGGAAACCAGTAGCTGGTCAGGACAAAGAAGGTTGGAACCTTGCCAGGAATGCTAGCAGCGATCCGGCAGCATCTCCACGAGTGACAACAGCTCGATCTCGAACGCCTGGTGCAGCGGCGGCGACAAGTAAAGCCAAATCGCCGACTACCCACACGGCAAAAAGACCATCATCCAGTGACGTGCGCATGGAAACTCTGGAGAAGAAGAAAATGCAAACGCAAGGAAAAGAAATTGATGACATGCTCAAGGCTCGAGCTGCTGAAAAACAGAAGGATGGTGCAGCACCTCCACAAGATTCACAGGCGGCCCCGCAACGTACGTTCTACTTTTTACTTTCGATATTACGAGGGTACACTAGCACTATCGAAAACAGGTTGCAAGCCCAAGAAGGCAGTACACGATGGCTGGGGACGGGCGGGCGGTTGTCGCCAACGTCATTGGTGGAAGGGCGGAGTGGGGTGTGGCCAAACGCCCTCTCGCACCTCCTCCACCAATGAGCTGGCAACAACCGCCCGCCTCCAGCAATCGTACCCACTGCCTTTAGGCCTGGCACTATGTACCCTTTATTGCCCCCCCGCCCCTCTCAAACGTTTGGATAAAAACCACGATCTGTTGGGGAATTAGTCCCATCGGGTACGTTGACCCCCTGAATGGGAATATCGCTATGCGTATCCCGAAATACTGACAAAAGGGCCATTACACCCTAAATCACTAAACGCGCTGAAAACGGGTCCCCAGCGGTAGTTTGAGTAGTCTCCCCATCAACACGATTATCACATCTGCATGGGTTGCCAAAGGAGTCGAAGATGGGGAAAGGGGATACGGGGTGTGGGGTACACGCGAGACCGCCGTCTACTTCCGCTCGTCTGCACCTTTTCTCTGAATAGTGACCTTTCGTCGGCTCGGACTGAGCCAGTGGCGCGGTTTCTGCCAAGCGGATGTGCTCTTCGTGCTCAAGAGGTGGACTTACCTTACAATAAGGTGGCAAAGCACATCCGCATAGCACAAGACCGCGCCACTGGCTCAGTCTGAGCCGAGGAAGGATCACCATCTCGAGAGAGGGTGCAGACGAGCGGAAGCAGACTGAGGTTTTGCGTATACCCATACCCCTATCCTCCTTTCCCCATCATCGGCTTCCAGAGAAAAGGTCAGTATGAAACTGGACTCTTGGAAGGTGGCGCAGGAAAGGCTGAATAGTGCCTCATCGCTTTGCATGGAAGCGGATATTGTCTTTTTTTCTCTGAATTAGGAGAAATGGTGGCGCGGATCGGCTTGGTGGGGCATGTTGCTGGCTCCTATTGATCGCTGCCGATGCCTCCTAAGGGAATCTTTGAATTCCTGTAAAGCTATACAACAGCACGAGCTTGCTTAACAGCACAGGACCTTCCAACGTGAGATGCAGAAGTTAACAGGAACTATTAAAAGAAACTAGCGAAGGTGTGAAACGTCCCTTTCCTGAACCGAACAGCTCCGAGATGCCTTTTGAGAAATCTAGAAAGAATTTGTTCCTAAAGAGAAGTCAGAGGGGATCGTTTTGTTGAGCCATTCAACAATAGCAAATCTGAGCGGAATCTTCTCATTACAGATATCAGCAATAAGGACTTAGTCTCAGTTCAACCTCTATGGGTCCCTCAACAACGTGAGTTGCTTCATCACACTGGTTGTTCAGGTTGTTCCATAAACAACCCTACAGCATAAAACTTACTATTGATTCCTGTTGATGACTAAAATGAATGGTGGTCCCCATCTTTTAGAACAGAGTCTCAAGCAACACCAGCTCAGACGTCAGCTGGAGGGCAAGATCACACTCAAGGACAAACGTCACCCTGCCCGTCTGACGCGTCCCAGCATCTGGAGCGAACAACGGTGTACACCTTTGGGCGGGCTAGCTGACAATGGAGAGTAGCTAGCCAGTTGCATTAGCTAACAGTTACGCTAGACGTCACCATCGGGATGACATTACGACAAAAAATCGGGTTCGTAGCGAAGGGACCATGCAAAGTCGCGCACTGTTGGGCATGTCACTTGTGCTACAATTGACAGTAGAGGTTGGGTGAGCGGAAGAAATTGAAAACTCAGAGAGAGGAGATACTATGAGTATCGGTGACACCAGAAGACAATGAAGGAAATGACTAACGTACCATCTGCCCACAACGCTGCACGCCTAGGTACACTCGAAATCCCTGAGATCGGGTAGGCGTGGCTGCGTACTTGATTTTAAAATGGCGGCGGCCCAGGTTTTCGTGAGATATTGTCATTTGGAGCAGTCGTAATCATGTCTACATCTGACACAGAACAAGATAGCAGTTGTTTCTGC